TTTGGTTTTGGGGTACCAGGAAGATGTGTGCTCTGAAAAAGCCAGTAAGTCTCCTGCGGACCAAGAAATTGCTTACCTCACCTGCTTTCAACACATTATTTGTAAGCATTGTTAGCCATTTGCTGTTCTGATCGATCGAATTTTGTCTGAGAAAAATTATGATGCCACAAGGCAAGTAATGGGCTTATTTTGTTCCATATTCTTGATTGTTTGTCCTAAATTTCTTGAAGTGGTGCCTCATGGTTGCTTTAAGCAGGTGTTTTCCATAGTTGTCATGATTTGCTGACTGACAAGTGACTGTACCGTATATATGCACTATATTTTTAACACTGGAATGCTGTAAGCTGCATAGTAATTATAATGCAAGGTAAATATCAGCATTAAGCAAATGGTCAGACCATTCCATTAAAAATGTGAGGCCAAAATATCAAACTATGCCATTAGATATGAATTAACAAGCCTAAATGGATGCCTTTGCTGCAGCTGAAAAGGCAAGCAGCAAAACTGGCATGGTCATCCAAAAGTTATGTTACTTTTGGAGAAGAGCGGTTGTTTTGTGGAGCATACCCATTATTGCCATTGACAGAGGTTAACCATGACAATCAGAATAAAGTGTTTTCATCTGTGTGTTGTCAACTTTGTCTGATGTCAACAAGCATACACAAATAAATTGAACACAAGCGCAAGTTGAAACCAGCCAAAAAATGAGCTTTATCATGCTTTTATCATGTTTAAGTGCTGCTATCACCAGAAAGGTGAGTTGAGATCACGTTCAACATATGGGCCACTCTAAGTTGGGTTAAGTTGGTTTAGTGCATGGCAAGTGACAATGGGAATTGTGCAGGAATCGGTAAGTCACAACTGCTGCTGTGACACCGACAAGTTAGACGGATGATATGAAGTGGGGCCTGTTTGGGTTAGGCATAGCTAGGCTACTTTCATAGAAAAAGGCATTGGTATTTTGTAGGGAACAGTGACAAAATGTTTGTTTTTCCTGACCCCATCTTAATAGAAGCCAGAGATATGTGCATTGTGCTTGACTTGGTGATGACCTGACGTGTAGGAGTCCTAGGTTTTTTTGTTGTCTGAGCGCTTTATCCTTGTTGAATCTTTTGTTGTTATTTTGTCGTTGAATTCCTTTCCTTTGTTTTGTGTTAAAAATGCTGTAGAAGGTAAGTGCAAAGTGCAGCATTAAATTATTGGTGTTACTGAATTTTGTATGCTTATTAAACTGTCATGAAGTTGTTATGCTTTAATGTATTCTGTTCTACTTTAACGGCCTAAGATGTTAAGAAACAAAACAGTTTTGTCAGGTTTATGATATTACGTTCATGCCTACTGGAACTAGATGTCTGTTTGCTGAAGCATCAGTCACTAGGTCACAAGTTTCATCTTTCGTCAATTGAATTTTTCCCTCCCGGACGGTCTTTTTGCGATGGAATTTTTCCCTCCCACCCTAGTTCAAAAGCAATTCTAGCTCACTGGTTTCTGGACTGCTAGGACGGGGATCGCCTGGCCCGACTGCAAACCGTTCGTAGCCGGAGGGCTGGGACGCCGGTCAGCCTGGAGAAGGGAGGGCAAGGATGGCTGTGCGTCCGAACACCCGGTCAAGGGGTGGCTCGTCGGCACGAGTCTCTTTAGCCTGTGTGCTCGACGCAGTGGAGACGGATATGAATTGAGAATGTTCGGGGTAGTCAGCTGCGGAATAGAACCAGTCCGAGCACCAAGCGTCGCTACTGTGGCTATCGCCGCTCGTGCGCATTCTTTCGTAGCACAGTAGGGACAACTTTGTCTTGATACCGCACCGTGCCTGCTGGTACGACGCGCCAGCCTCGACTTTCTTGGAACGAATCCTTCCTTGTTGACATCCTGGTTACTGCCCCGCCCCTGCCCTGTGGTCATTCCACACAGATGATTCGGTTTGGCACACACTTGTGGGGCAATATGCAGACAGCCCCTGGTTTGGGATCTTGGCGCACTTGAGGCCTCTGAGATCCTGCTGGGAGTGCCTACTGCCGTGACCAAACGTTCCATAATTCACAAAGTACGTGGCGGATTGAGTAAGAATACCTTGACGCTTCACGGCGGAGGCAACCGGCTGTTGGTTCTGTGGTAATCTCAGTATGGCAAAGATCAATGCGTAGCATGGGCACCATATTGGAGTCCGGGCCTTCATGTCGGTGCAAAAGCTGGTAGAGGCTCCCACGGGTATTTTTTTTAAACGCAACTTTGACAGTGCGTCGGCCCTGTTGGCATCCATTCCTAATGCGCTAGCTGTGCCTCTCCGTTGTTCACCGGTCTGTACTTTTCCAGGACTTTAGTTCAAGTTATTGAAGAGTTTCAAAACATCTTACGCAGAAACTTGATTTGCGTTGTAATTGCAAGAATAGTGTGAATGATTGAACGAATGCATGAGCGCGATTATCACTGAAAGACCGCAAGCAAACCCACTGCGCAAGTTTTCTTCAAGTATATATCGGAGATTTCTCAAACTTTTTATAAACACCATTGCCCATATTCGTTGGTAACTCCAGATGGGTATCTACGGGTATACCGACGCAATGGAGTCGTCTATAGGCTGGTGTCTCGAAGCTGATTATCTCTGAATGACTCAGTCGTCAGAAATGTCCATAAAAACTCCGTACACTTGTGGAACACTCCCTTTGATGATGGGCTTGTTATGGGCTTTCTACCGATTTTATGGGGCTTTCTATCGACATACATTTTAAGATCGTTCAATGCAACTGACAGTCATGCCATATTAAGACGTACAACCGGTTTGTTTCTGTTCTAGAAGCACGTGGACTTGTGTAAATTATTTCGCGCAGCCTATGTGAGGGTCACCCGGATATGGATGGCGTCATATACACGTCACGCGAACACCGCCACCTTACTGGCCATACAGTGCACGGGGTCAATCAAGATATGATCATCGAATTTAGTGCCTGGTGTACATTAGCACGGTTTATGGTATCAACGGACGGCAGTTGGCCTACAACCAGTTTAATGCGTCGAGGGCAAGTTTCGAGTACGAATCACATTTTGTGAGACATGACACAGGAATTTAGGCAATGACATTAGATATAATGGACCTGGGACTGGGAATCGAATAATTTTATAATAGCACCATGACGAAGATGTGAATGCACTTAGAAATATAACATACCCGGTAAATATACAGCAGAACCACGAGAACGGGCGAGCACACACGCCCATGACGGTATTCGGGTTCACTAAACACGCGCCAGTTAACAAGCCACTTCTACGAAAGTGAAAGCACTACCAATGAATCTGCCCGTCCGCTAGAATGGCGATTCTGGCGCGGCCAGTCTGATGATGATGTTTGGGGTTTACAGGCACACCGGCTGCCTAGGCCATTTCGCGCTAGATTACACCACTTGCCCGGCGTTATCCTGTTAATGCGGCGAATAAATGACGTCCGGATCGGAAGTGCCTGAAGTTTCAGTACCTGATGAGGTTCCACTTCAGGATGCTTTAAGATTAATGACTTCAGTGACCTGGAGCCTCCGGAGTCCTGCCTTTCAGCAGATAGCTGCCGGAAGTCAACAAAAAAAACATATGACTGACCGTCAACCCTTCGCAACATCTGGTACATGAAGTAACTCTAAAGTAGTGTTTTGCTTTTAAAACATACGAAAAGCTACAAGTGAATTTATTTCATCATATCTGATGCTTGCCTCAGTATAATCAAACGTGGATCATTCTTGTTCATGAATTCACCTCATACGCCTTAATTCTGCGAAAAGAGAATATGGACTGGTAACACCGGCAAGCACCTGTTGTCCATTTGGTATGCTAACATTTAGGCGCTGTCAGCATGGTCCACGACCAAAATGTAATTCAAAATAAGTCTTGGATAAGACAGATTTTAGTAACAGCCTTATTCCTCGGATAAAACCCAGAGGGGTTTTGATATTTCGATGATGATGCGTTGATATTTCGGCAACATTTATCCATAGCGGAACGAATATCAGAAGCCTAGTCGTCGTAACGTCTTCTGCTATTTGTTTCGTTAAAGGCATGGTGCCAAAATATCAACGCATCTATATCTCCATTCTGCTGGGTTTTTTATCCAGGGGATGGAAGCTATAAGTACTGTCTTATCTGTGTGAATAGTATTCCTCGCGAATGCACATAACGACTTACAAAGTAAATCTTACCAAACTACTCAAATGTATATAACAAATATTTAATGCAAGGTCATTTTATTATTAATCTATTAATTTATTAATTTATCATTGATTAATTAACATTTTATATTAAATCATTACTTAACATGCCTTGCATTGCACAAGCAATAAGCAATGTTAAAAGTTGTGGAACGTAATTAGAATACCCAAAGCGGCAATTTTGTTTCCAAATTAGACCCACCAGCACTCAACTTTCACGCCACTCAAACACAATTGCAGTATGCGTGATGCGCTACCCGGCGACTGCGTGAGCCTGCTGTGTGCGTGGCATTCCTGTTGTAATTTCTTTAGGTCCAGGAGGGCAAACGCAGTCGTTCCTGGCGGTTTGGTCTATCCGATAGAAGCACGTGCGTTTATGGTTTACAGGAACGCCGTGCTGTGGTGGTGTGTTTGATTACTGAAATGCCATGGGCACCTCGAGAGATCAAAACATTAGAATAGGCGGAATAGTTCGGAAAATTAACTAAGCTTTCAACACTTAAAAAAGCATTGGCAGCACTAAAGGGGCGCGTGGCCGAGCCGTCTTCTACTGTCCTTATATGAGCTTCCGTCCACCCTATTAGGCATGCAAGTGAACAGCTGTCAATATATATACAACAGCTGTCAGTGCCTCCAAGAAGGCTTGATGCGATGAACTAATGGGCTCTCCATGTTCATCGCAGCTTATGTGACATCCACTTGTTACGAGTGCTTCTTCCAGTCACGCATCTTCTCTTTGCGGATGAAGCCATCTTTGCATGCATCTTTGATGAAGATGAAGGCTGGTGCACATGAGGCCAATCTTCTTGCCTTGATCATGGTTGACGTACGGGCTCGTCTTGAAGTTGTCGAAGAGCAAGTGCGCGAACAGCTGATCTACCTGCTCGTCTGAGTACGCCTGGCCGAAAAACTTGACCAGCTTGCGGATCTGGGGCGGCAGGTCGCGCTTTATATCCTCGTGGAAGAGGAAGCACATATTGGGTTGGTGGTTTAGCTGACCGAACTGTAGCATGCACTCGCAGAGCGGGGTCCTGGTAAGCCTAGTCATTGGAACGGGCGAGCGTAGCGCTGGTAATGCTACGACTGTCTCATCTTATCAGGTGCGTTAGCGTTCATGTTCTCTCAGAATCTAACCATTGCTCTCACCGAACCCTTAAATGCGTGTAGATTCTTATTCTGGGCACATTTTTTTAAGCCACCCAAAACGTCTCAAAAAGCAAATAAATGCTGAAGTCGCTAGCGGTAGCTACAGGTGATCTGGAGATAGCGTGGATCTTCTGACATCTATGTAAAGTGAGATCAAAGTGAGATCAGGCCCACCGCGGACTACGCTTGCGTCCGATCGCTGTGTGTGCTTACCTCACCTGAGCATCTCCAGTGCTTCACTTGCAGAACCGCGCAAAATCCACAGAGGCATTAGGCACTTTCTTGGTAGAAATGAGGCATAATGCACAAAAACCGTTAGCACCAAACATAAAACAAAGAAGGAAAAAAATTGCCAGCTATTTCAGCATTGGGTGTGGATGTTATTTTGTGATTGTGATGCGATATTTTGATTAAACCAGCCACGGCAAATTGAGCGGTACCTTGAACATCTTGGTAAACGTCTTACACTATTGTCAATTTCCACAATTGTGGCTCAAACGCACTGATTATCATCCAGCCCAGTTTTAGTGCCAGCCGTACAATGTACTTTGATTGTACAGGGCAGGGAAAATGGACAAAATGGAAAGAGGAGAAAATTTACTAAATCCAGCAAACCATTTTTAGCTGTGTGATGGCGATAAGAGCACGGGAGGGCTGTTTTTGAAACGTGACAGTCATATTGCAGAACGCTGGATCTACGTACTTATTTCAGCTGAGCCTCTCTAATTTTTCAAATGCAAAGTTCAATAAAAACACAGTGTAGAATAATGGCTGGATGATGCGCTGACTCTAATGACACATGGGGCATACAACACAAAACACTGCGTACCTTTACTGCTTAAAGGTCATTAATGGCTAAGGTTGATTTGAAGGGCAGCCTGCGACTGCTGTCTGACCGGCTTTTGCAATGCGGGTTGCTAATGTTGGCGTGTAATTTTCCCGTAACGTTTTGGAAATGCAAGCCACCGCACGTTGAGCAGGGCTATTTTAACGTCTTGAAAGCCTTTGTGCGCAATTTACGTACGTTGTGTAAAATCTGACAATCATCTAGAAGAACCGTAAACTTCGCAATGATGAACACCGTCTTGCGTGCGCTAGAATCTCCAAGCCTTTAAAAATACGCATGCACGGCATGACGTATGGAAATTCCAGAAGAAGAAAGAAATCCAGTGTTGATCTGGAAGGTGAACCATGCATCTTGGACTCCTAAACAACTAAAATTGATTTCGCATCATATTCTGGTAGTGATAAATTTCCATTCTTCTAGTGCTATTTATCTAAATGGCAGGTCCTGATAGTCCACCAGATCAGGTTTTTTTCTCATTTGGTCCGTATGTGGGACACTCTTTAACTTGATGATGAAGTTAGCTGATTCCCATTGTAGCATCAGACCATGACCCTGGTTATTCTCCGCAAAAGTATCGCAATGTCCTAAGTTCCATTGCAATAACTACCACGACCGCGGAATTCATTAGCAGTGGCGTAGCCCTCTGCACTCCTCACTAGAAAGGAAATCCGTGCAATCCCTTTGCTAGGTGGATTATGCAGAATATGTGCATCTGAACAACCGAAAAACTTTATGAAGTTTGTCTCCCTCCCCGCACCTGTGTCTCCCTCATGTTCTGTGCTCAATAAATTCGATCGCGCAGGGGAGTCCACAAACACCGAAGAAGCTTTTTGTTCATATCCGTAAGTTCATATGAGACCCTAAAAAACCAAAGCTCGTAAATGTTGGTATTCGAAGAGTGCTATTATTATGCCAGAAGCAGAAGGCCGAGCGCCACACACTCAACTTTGACCGGACAGGGGTCGGACTGCTTGCTCTGTCTTCCGTGCTGCGCCGCTGTTCCACACCGGATGCACTGAGCTTTTATAGCTATTTTGACTCCTGTGAGTGTACCTGCACAATGTACACTTGCCCTAATCATGGGAGCCGCATCTAAACCAGGAAAGGCCCAGCAAAGGGTGTTGATCGCGTCGCTCAGCTGGGTCTCACAGTATTCACAACTTAATTAAGCCCAAGGCCACGAGTCCTCCAGTTCCCCGAAGTCAGTAGGCCTCTCGTCCTCCAAGGTCAGCGGCTCCCCGTCTCCTGAGGCCACCAGTTCCCCGTCGTCTGAGGTCACCGGTTCCCCGTCATCTGAGGTCACCGGTTTCCCGTCATCTGAGGTCACCGGTTCCCCGTCGTCTGAGGTCACCAGTTCCCCGTCATCTGAGGTCACCGGTTCCCCGTCATCTGAGGTCACCGGTTCCCCGTCATCTGAGGTCACCAGTTCCCCGTCGTCTGAGGTCACCGGTTCCCCGTCATCTGAGGTCACCGGTTCCCCGTCGTCTGAGGTCACCGGTTCCCCGTCATCTGAGGTCACCGGTTCCCCGTCGTCTGAGGTCACCGGTTCCCCGTCATCTTAGGTCACCGGTTCCCCGTCGTCTGAGGTCACCGGTTCCCCGTCGTCTGAGGTCACCGGTTCCCCGTCATCCGAGGTCACCGGTTCCCCGTCGTCTGAACTTCCCATCCTGCGGGGCCAGCAGTTTTCCTTCCCACGAGGTTTACAGTTCCTTGCTCTCTAGCATGTGCCGTTCAACGTCTGCCGATGTCAGTAGCCTCACATGACCTAAAGTAGCAACTTTTTTTCTGCGTCGTGAGACGGGCAGCCTCGAGCCCTGATCGTGACGTTTGCCTGACGTGAGTGAGCTTATCTTCTAGACTCAGCATGGACCTACCGCTCCTTTTGACCGCTCCAGCATGGTCAAAGCCCACTCAAGTCCGCAGCTCGTTCTCTGTCTGTTGCAGCAGACCTCTATGCAAAGACAGTGTCGCGGGAGGACGTCATGACCCTCGGCGGTACAGCCTCACCGCTGGCGCGTCACGGGCCCGGCAGTCAACCAGAACGCCCGGCCCCGTCATAAAACCCATGCTCACGCGGCGAAGAAGCGAGCAGCTCGCCCCCATCCGCCTGCCGGCCCGGCTCGCCACCGCCTGGTGAGTTATGGAGCGCGTCCAGTGAGTTCCGGCGAGGGGACGTGTGTCCTGCAGGGTTCGAGGGGAGTCAACAAAGGCATTCCGCCGGGGCAAACCGGCTGCGAAGGGGCAGGCCGTGCACAGCGGAATGTTCTGGGAAGGTTCGCCCGCGTGCCGTGGAGAAGAACAATGCAGATGTTTGCAGCGGCATCATGCAGCTTCACTTCCTCGGAGACCTCCACCCAATCTAATTTGAAAGCTGCAGCCGGGAAAACATCTCAGCTGTGTCCCTTATGCAGGAGTGCATGATGTCTATGTGAAAGGATGGTGGATGCATTGGGGTGAAATGACCAAGACGGCGCGGTCTTTTCCATAGCATCCGTCGAATATCCAGTCTATGTCATAGCTTACGGTCGGCCAGAGCATTCCACCGCTGCAAAACAGAGGGATGCGAAATAGTCGGACCCCACTCCCCACTCCTCCGACCAACATTGTTTTTAGGCTGCGTCAGCAGTCTCGACCAGAGGTAATCGAGTGAGCCTCGGACCGCACAATCCTATACCGTGCGGCACGGCTTAGCAATCCTTCGCGCTGCCCTCCGACGTCCCGATCCTACCATAATCTCGTTGCCATTATGTCCAACTATGGCTCCACCGCTCTTATCCAGCGGCATACAGAAGGTGATGCAGACACTGCCATGTGAGTGGCAATGCCCCGAGCCTGGGCGAGAACAGCGAATGAGGACCAGCCGCCATCGGACCACGTGACTCTCGATACTCGGTCACGTAACGTCGGTCGCAACATTTGCCTGCACACCGGGTCAGTTTATATGCTTCTACCCATGCATGAGGGCGGCCGGTACGTGCTGATGGGGAACGGGGCTTGCGCTGCTGCAACGATTCCTGTCCGACCACGTCATCCATGTGGACATGGACAGCTTGTAACGAGCTTTGGGCTGATGCAATGGCGTAATGCCCAGAGAGCCGCCTGGACAAGTGCCGAGTGAGCCAGGTGTCTGGGCTAGTTTTCGAGGTCAGGCACCATGCTGCGTGGGCGGTGGCCAGATCTTTTGATTGCCACGCTGAGCGTGAGCGCCCACGGTATATCGACGTTCGTTTCCATCCGATAAGCCACGAGCTGCTAGAAACCTGTGCACCGGACTCAGACATGCTGAACTGTCTCGTCTTACGTGACGCCGCCTTCCTGCAGCCGCCTTTTGTTTGTCTCTCCCCATAGCAGTGATTTGCATTCCCCCTCCCACCAAGCCCATCTAGCGCCAGGGCTTACCGCTGGTAATTGCCGGTTAATTGGGCGACGTGGCGTCCGTTAGCATGTCGATATTCTTCACCAGCAGCCACCTCGTCAGGCTCCAGTAGTCAAATACAGTGGTGCAGCGAGGTGGATGACCTCGACGCCCGCTCGCCGTCCCTTCTCCGCTGTGTGAGTCAGCGGATGGTGGCGTGCAGACCTCGACCCACCCGCCCCCGCTTCTGGGCAGCTCCTCACCGTCGATCGGGTCGGGTAGGCTTGGGGTCAGACTGGCCGTGGAAGGTCAGACTGGCCGGGGAGGGTCAGACAAGCCAGGGCAGGTCGGACAGGCTGGGGTGGGTCGGACAGGCCGGGCAAGACTAGACAGGACAGACGGTCAGACTGTCCAGGGAAGGCCAGACAGGCCACGATATATCAGAAAATGCAGCAGATTTGATCCCGCATTTAAGAGTGAGAGAGCGTTGGGTCAGACGATGTCACGGCAGATCGGACATGGTCGGAACAGGCCAGGCACGGTAAGGGCAGGTCAGGCACAATGTCGGATATTGTTGTGACGTCAAACGAGTCCAGGCGAGGCGATAATGCTACCTCGTTTCAGACAT